CCCACCAACTTTGGCCACTTCTGCATTCGGTAATCTGGGATCCATTACGATACACCTCATGTCAGACCTTTTTGTCCTTTCCGATGGACCAAGACGACCCCGGACACTGCTCACTTGTTTCCTTGCCATGTTTCCTTAACTGCACGATGATTCTGTTGACTGTCGAAAGCTTGATTCCCAAAGTCTGCGAAATTTGCCGCGGACTTATTTCACCATCTGCTTGACCAACTATCTGTCCTCTAACAATATCTGACAATTCGAGAGAACCTTGAGGCATGTTGTAGCACAAGATAATTAGTGTGCGGACCATTTTCATTTATATAGTGCTCTGTGAACACAAATTAGTTAGCATAAATCAGTTAAATGACGAAAAATTAGATGTCTATTTACTTGTAACCACGCTGTGTATGTGTGACATTTAATGTGGAAAAATAATTAAACATTATATTTTCCTCCATAGTTGCAGCTAATTTACAGAAATTGGTAGACAATCCTTCTTTGGAATCATTGACATTCTTGTTGGTAAGTGATTTTCAAAGTAAAATTTCAGGTTTTGATCAGTATTCTGTCACTATGAATCAAAAACATACCTTACCATGTTTTTACTTTTACATTTTTTTTATTCAGTGTTTTTACATTGTAATTGATGAAGGCCGATGGTAAAATAACAATCACAAGTTCAAATCTTTACCTTATGAACTAGAAAACTAAAGAACAATGAAATGAATGCTGGCATATGTGATTTTTCTAATTAAATTCAAGCTTGCACAATTTTCAATAATAATTATATATTTGAAACACCAAAGTAAGAAATTTTGCTTCTTGTTTTTCTATGTTTTAATTATGGTGTAATTTTGAAAGACAAATTTTATTAGTAAAAAATGATTAATCTTATTTTGAAATTTAAGAGTTTGTAAACACCAGTTATTGAGTTACTGTAATTACTTTAATAAAGGGACACTGTTTTCTAATTACTTTTTTGTTTTTCAGAATCCAAGTAATGAAGATGACAGTTATGAGGTACCAGATGAGAAATCACTTGTTGGTTATGGACAACTTTTTTTATCAGTTTATCAAGATGAACAGCTCTGTGATCACTGAATGTACCTTAGATCACAAATAAGGATGGCATCTTTATTTTTTAGTCTTTGAGTAAAAATCAACAAACTGAGAACAATTATAGCCATATCTTCCTAAAAACAAGTTATAGAAAGTAAAGTGTTTGGGATATTCATTTTACTTGATATTTTGTTACATTTCTTATTAATATATTGCATTTTTACAGTGTTAATGTACAGTTCTCGAATTTCCTGACAGCAGTGTCTGGTTTTAGTAAAATGATTAATTGATTTATGAAGGCAACAGCTGGAACTGGTGAACCAAGTGGTTTAATTTTTTATTTCAAAAAATAAGACTCAAGCCATTTTGTAACTAGTGTCTCTACATTAATTCAAAAGTGTTTTGTTAACATACTTGAGGTTCTGTTCCAAATGACTAAGTAGTGAGCGATGACACGCAACATGGCTATCTTGCCTGGTGAAAGTACTCTCTGCAGAGTTCCTGCTGGATGTGGTGATATTAATATGATTTTGATTATTTTGCACAATGACTTTGCCATGATTTTTTTCAAATATAACAGGTGAAAACATAAGAAGAAATTATTGATGTGTTGCTTGTGGCATATGGGTGCACCATTTTTTTTTCATGGTGTTCTTGATTGAAAATGCTAAGTTTTCATTGATAATTTTTCCCTGTGACAACAATCCTGTTAATTTATTTTATTATTTTGTAACTGTTCATTTACATATGATCTTACTGGTTATTATTTTGTGTAGGATCTTCAGTTATTTCACCTATAAATATATTATGATCTTCATCTTGTGTAAAGTAACTGTATGTATTCAGAATCAGACCTTGCTCAGTATGAGTTTTTTTTATAATTTTTGTTAAAATATTAAATGTATTAAGTAATCAGGAGATACATAAGCTTTGACTTATGATATAATTTACCTAGTGGTGAGGGTTTTTGTTTTTAAGCTGTAAAAATGTTTGATTTATTTAATTGTAGATAAGTTATATACAATACAATGCATAAATTTTACTCTTGTAATGATAGAGCTTTCATAGCTTTTTAACTAGTTATTAGTAGTTTAATTCTCAATTCCGAGTTTAGTTTTAGGTAGTTTTTCTTTTAGTTTTAGGATTCGTCAGACCTTCATTATTAATTCATCATGTTATTTGATTGTCACACTCACACACATTTATAACTGCTTTCTTCACTCTCAAAGTAATTTTTATTATGCACTGTTTTGAAGTATTACACCTACATCAGACAATAGGCCTAATACTAACAGTTGTGCCTGTGTGTGGGTCGTTTATCTAACACAATGAATTAATCCACCCTTAGAACCTCTTCAACAAATAACACTCGTTATAAATAATTTTATTTCGCTCAAGGATAATTTTACTAATGAAAACATTTAAACATTGAATTCCAAAATTACTAATAGGCCTAACTGCTTAGGATACAGTTACTGATAGTGTGAATTATGAGAGCAATTGTGTTCGTCTACTTTTAAACGATTTAATAAAACACACACATGCTTAACCATTATTTGATAATCAAACGGTGCTTTGATGTATTTTTTTATAATTTAAAATCACAATTTAATATTAAAAACTGATTGAATATCTAATAACTTTACACGATAGGCCTTATTTTTTCAACATAAGGAAACATCCTTCGTTTAAAATGTCTTTTTCTCATTTCACCAGGTTCGGTATTTTCTTTACTAACCTCAGAGATTATTGTTTTAATTGTAGAAATTGTCATTATAGAATTATATATTGGAGTTCTAATAAATACATTGTTGATTGAGAGAAAAATTATGTAAAATCAGTTATCGCTCTCTAGAATAAATATAATAAAAAAAGAAATTAAACTAGGCAATTTTATTGTATGTTTTGAAGTGGCTCTACAATGATTTTATTCTGCAGAGAAATACCAGTAATATACTGGTCTACAAGGTAAAAACGGTTTTGAAATCTTTGTTCGACTGGCTTACTGACAGTTTCACTTTGCGTGTTTCTTTATTGTTATTATTATTCCTTTGGAGATCTTATTTCAGGTTTTCTCTAACTGTGGCCATTTTATCATTTCATTTCAAACATAAAATATATTTTACTTATGTTTGCTATTACCAAAGCCTGTATAAATTCATATTTAAATTAACATAGTTTTCACGTTAACACTACTTGATGCCTTACAAAATACTGAGAAACATTTCATTGTATAAAAAACTAATTTACAACTACCCTAACAGTGACATCATTATACGCTTTATTTATAAAACTTATAGGCCAAGATTACCATTTAAGGCAGGGTGAAGGCCTAGTGGTTAGCTTGAAGGACTGCTAATCCAAGGATTATTGGCTCTTGCCCCAATGCACCGAACTTTGAAGCCATAGCTGCGTTATAAGAGTGGAGATCAAACTTCACTATTTGGTTACAGTATTTCAGGAGTTGGCGGGTGCTGTTGACTAGCTGTTTTCCTTCTAGTCTATCAGTTTGAAATTAAGGACGGCTATCGCAGATAAGGCATACGTAATTTTGCGCGAACATATGGAGCAAACAAACGCTTGTTTATATGATAAATCGGAATTTGATGTTAATGTTTAACATTGCAGATAATCATATTCCAATTTAAAGGGTTCATATTAATCGGTGACATTTTTGTCACTAATACGCAATAATTTGTTACAATTATTTAGAAAAACTACACAAAACTGTTTACTGTTCGAGAACTGAGCATCGGGTTGTTAGTCACTAATGTTCTAACAATGTGTCTATATTGCGATTTCTGGCTTGGTGTCTTGGGCATGAAAAGAAAAAAAGCCGCAGTCTTTAATTTATGTGCTTGTTTTTACTTACTTATATAGAAGCAGCTTTTTAATTGAATTTTTACCAACTCATTTGAAACTCGTTATTTTAATTCTTATAAAATATATTATGGTCTGGATAACTGAAAAAATAAGTTACTTCAAGGGTGTTCTGAAATCAGTATTTTTTGTATTTTTCATCTCAATTTTATTATATTTTGTTATAGTGTTTTAAAAATTAAGGAGTTTTTGATAATTTTACTGAAACAGAAAGTTATTGATTTAATCATTATAATTTCTTATATAACATTTGGGTTAGAACAATTCCACCAAATAAAAATATTTTTAGAAAAATGTTGTTGAGTTCAATTTTGATAATTAAAAACAAGTATTTGCAACGAAATTATGTCATTATGACGCTAAATTAAAGCAAGTACTTATTCAAAATCTTATCATTTAAAACGTCCAGTAAGCCACAAATTGAGAGAATATCTTAAGTCTTAAGATATTCTCTTTAGAACAGAAATATATCACCAAAATCATACAACACATATTTTATCTGAGAGATAATCAGTGCCAAACAATTAGCACAGTTCTTAAAACTGAGCTTGTGATAATACTCGTCAAGTTAAACAAATTTAATGGCATGGTTTGTGAAGAAACTTTAACGATGGGTGAAAAAAATTGGTATTGTTACGACAGCGGAAGTCACGTGATGAGTTTCTAGAAGGATCATGAAGGCCCAAGTGTTTGCCAGACGCCCTCTATTTTAGTATATAAGCCCGGCAAATAAAGCGGAGATATAATCGCAGATAGCCAAATAATCGAGTCAAGTCGTAAATAAAGTGCGTGAATCGTTGTGAATTATAGCGTGTGTTTAAGTGAAAGTGACTGTGGAAATTAAGTGTATTGCAAAATTGTATTGAGAAAGAATAAACTAGTGTTATTTAAGAAAGGACTTGTATCGTTGAAGTTCCTCGGGAAGAATTTATACAGGAAATTATCAAACAAGCAGATACTAACAAATTGGTGTCAGAGAGTGGGACAAAAAAAAGAGAAGAAGATGGAAACAAGAAGCGACAAATCAAACTACAGCTTGGCAGATTTGAAGGCAGCAATACAAGAACAGCAAAGGAAACAAGAAGAGAGATTATAGCAGTTGTTGGAGGAAAAAGAAAGGAAACAAGAAGAGAAATTACAGCAGTTGTTGGAGGAAAAAGAAAG